CTTAGATTGCCAGCGCGCACCAGTTACGCTGATTCGCGGTGTTTGAGTCCCTGGAATGGTGTTCTGGCACGATTAAAGATCGGCAACACGCACAGTCAGGTTGAAGACCTTCGAATACTGTGTTGGAACGCTCCAGGATCTTCAAACCGTTGTCTCCCATCGGGGCACTTTCCTCAGTGGAAATGACTCTGTGTAGGGGCCTATGAAGAGGGAGCTTGGGGAGGGTTTATTCCAACATCGTTGATGGGACCTGGGTTTACACGAGTCCTCCTCCTCATCGTCATCTTTCTTTTCATTATCCTCCTCCTCCTCCTCCTCCTCCTCCTCCTCCTCCTCCTCCTCCTCCTCCTCCTCCTCCATTCATTTTCCTCCTGAATTACTCCTCCCTGTCGCACCCCGAGGCCAGGCGGAAGGGCGGGCCAGGCGTGTCGCCGGAGACTCCCTTACAATGTATGAGTCTTGAGCTGAAAAACGAACAACGGTTTTGAAAATTGAGGGCGCGTCGTTCTTCAAAAATGTTGCTCTCGCCGTGGCGCCGTGCGCAGTCGTTCTGAAATTTACAAGAGTTTCACGGATTGAGGGCAGGTCGATTTCAATATGTGGCTCTCGCCTCAGCGCCCCACACTCTCGCCTTAAAAATTTGGAGGAACTTCACGGATTGATGACAGGTGGTTTTCAAAACGTGACTCTCGCGTTCACGCCGCGCACATTCGTTTTAAAACATTGCAGAAGCTTCACGGATTGAGGGCGGCTGGTTGTCAAAATGTGGTTACCGCCTTAGCGTTTCGCACATTCGTTGAAAAAACTTGCAAGAGCTTCGCGCGCTGACTGCGGCTCCTTTTCAAAACGTGGCTCTCGCGTTAACGCCGCGCACATTCATTTCAATTACCCTGCGACGTACCCAACCCTTTCTATACATGTGGTGGTTACACTCGGGACCACTCAATGATGACGGGCATGCTGAAAAACCCGCAGTGCGGAAGAAAAGCACCCATCAGTGGACTCAGAAGAGCGCAGCAAGAAGAGCAGCGGCAACGCGTAAGACGTACCTCTGCCGGGCCTCCCAGGAGCCCACGAAAGTGGCGACAATTGCGCAGATCGCAGCCCCCCAGGGCGCCGCGAGGTCTCGAGGTGGTCCGCGTGGGACGTACCTCCGCTGGGCCTCCCAGGAGCCCACGATAGCGGCGACAGTTGCGCAGATCGCAGCCCCCCAGGGCGCCGCGAAGTCTCGAGGTGGTCCTCGTGGGACGTACCTCCGCTGGGCCTCCCAGGAGCCCACGAAAGTGGCGACAGTTACGCAGATCGCAGCCCCCCAGGGCGCCGCGAGGTCTCGAGGTGGTTCGCGTGGGACGTACTTCCGCTGGGCCTCCCAGGAGCCCACGAAAGTGGCGACAGTTGCTCAGATCGCAGCCCCCCAGGGCGCCGCGAAGTCCCGAGGTGGTCCTCGTGGGACGTAGCTCCGCTGGGCCTCCCAGGAGCCCACGAAAGTGGCGACAATTGCGCAGATCGCAGCCCCCCAGGGCGCCGCGAGGTCTCGAGGTGGTCCGCGTGGGACGTACCTCCGCTGGGCCTCCCAGGAGCCCACGAAAGTGGCGACAGTTGCGCAGATCGCAGCCCCCAGGGCGCAGCGAGGTCTCGAGGTGGTCCGCGTGGGACGCCTCCGCTGGGCCTCCCAGGAGCCCACGAAAGTGGCGACAGTTGCGCAGATCGCAGCCCCCCAGGGCGCCGCGAGGTCTCGAGGTGGTCCGCGTGGGACGTACCTCCGCTGGGCCTCCCAGGAGCCCACGAAAGTGGCGACAGTTGCGCAGATCGCAGCCCCCCAGGGCGCGGCGAGGTCTCGAGGTGATCCGCGTGGGACCCACCTCCGCTGGGCCTCCCAGGAGCCCACGAAGTGGCGACAGTTGCGCAGATCGCAGCCCCCAGGGCAGAGCGAGGTCTCGAGGTGATCCGCGTGGGACCCACCTCCGCTGGGCCTCCCAGGAGCCCACGAAAGTGGCGACAGTTGCGCAGATCGCAGCCCCCAGGGGACGGCGAGGTCTCGAGGTGATCGCGTGGGGCCCACCTCCGCTGGGCCCCCCAGGAGCCCACGAAAGTGGCGACACTTGCGCAGATCGCAGCCCCCAGGGCACCGCGAGGTCTCGAGGTGATCCGCGTGGGACCCACCTCCGCTGGGCCCCCCAGGAGCCCACGAAAGTGGCGACAGTTGCGCAGATCGCAGCCCCCAGGGCACCGCGAGGTCTCGAGGTGATCCGCGTGGGACCACCTCTGCTGGGCCCCCAGGAGCCCGCGAAAGTGGCGACGATTGCGCAGATCGCAGCCCCCAAGGCACCGCGAGGTCTCGAGGTGATCAGCGCGGGACCCACCTCCGCTGGGCCGTCCAGGAGCCCACGAAAGTGGCGACAATTGCGCAGATCGCAGCCCCCAGGGCACGGCGACGTCTCGAGGTGATCCGCGTGGGACCCACCTCCGCTGGGCCTCCCAGGAGCCCACGAAAGTGGCGACAGTTGCTCAGATCGCAGCCCCCAGGGCACGGCGAGAACTCGAGGTGATCAGCGCGGGACCCACCTCCGCTGGGCCTCCCAGGGGCCCACGAAAGTGGCGACAATTGCGCAGATCGCAGCCCCCAGGGCACCGCGAGGTCTCGAGGTGATCCGCGTGGAACCCACTTCCGCTGGGCCTCCCAAGAGCCCACGAAAGTGGCGACAGTTGCGCAGATCGCAGCCCCCAAGGCACCGCGAGGTCTCGAGGTGGTCCGCGTGGGACCCACCTCTACTGGGCCTCCCAGGAACCCACGAAAGTGGCGACAGTTGCGCAGATCGCAGCCCCCAGGGCACCGCGAGGTCCCGAGGTGACCCGCGTGGGACCCACCTCCGCTGGGCCTCCCAGGAGCCCACGAAAGTGGCAACAGTTGCGCAGATCGCAGCCCGACGGCACGAGAGAAGAGGAGAGGGGAACACAGGAAGCAGGAGAGGAGGAGGGGAGGAGGGGGGAGGAGGAGAAGGAGGACGGGGCGACCACACTGCTCTATTCAAAACGAGTACCCAATCATAGGAGGGTTGGGCTAAGCTAAAAAGAGTTTCACGGATTCCCATCGTTCACGTGCCAGAAATCCTGTTTGAGAGCGATTCTGGATTGTCAAGGCACATCAATTACGCTGATTCGCGGTGATGAAGTCCTAGGAATGGTGGTCGGACACGATTCAGGATCGTCAAGATGCAACAGTCCGGTTGACCCGTGGCGGTGAAGTGCTGAGTATGGTGTTCGGCACGCGACAGGATTTTCACACGGTTGTCCCCCAACGGGGCACTTCCCTCAGTGGAAATGAACCCTTGTATGGGGCCTATGAGGAAGGAGCTTGGAGGGAAGGTGTATTCCAACTCCGTCGACGAGTCTTGCATTTACACTGGTCCTCCCCCTCCTCCGTCTCCATTCCTTCTCCTAATGAATGATTCCTCCCCGTCGCGCCCCGAAGCCAGTCGAAAGGGAAGGCCACGCGTTTCGCTGGACACTTCCTTACCATGTATGAGCCTAAAGCTGAAAAGCTGGCAACAGCTTCACTGATGGAAGGCGGGTCGCTTCCAAAATGTTGCTCTCGCCGTGGCGCGGCGCACTCTCCTCTTTAAAGATTGCAAGAGCTTCACGGATCGAGGGCGGTTCCTCTTCGAAATGTGGCCCTCGCCTGAGCACCGCGCACATTCGTCTCAAAAACTTCAGTTATTACGGAGTGAGGACAGGTCGTTTTCAAAACGTAGTGTTCGCCTTAGCGCCGCGCACATTCCTTTCAACAGAAGTCAAGAGCTTTACAGACTGAGGGCGGGTGGTTTTCAAAATGTGGCTCTCGCCTTAGCGCCGCGCACTTTCGTTTTAACAAGCGTACAAGAGCTTCACGGATTGAGGGCGGCCCCTTTTCAAAATGTGGGTCTCGCCTGAACGCCGCGCGCATTTGTTTCAAAAGCTTGCAAAATCTCCACTGGCTCCCATGGTCAACGTACCAGAAATAGGTCTGGAACAAATTAGGATTGTCAAGGCGCAACAACTACGTTGATTCGCGGTGGAATGCTGTCCGGGCACGACTCAGCATCGTCCAGATGCAACAGTCCGGTTGCTTCGTGGCGGTGAAATACTGACAATGATGTTTCGGCACGCTCGGGATTTTCCCACTTTGCCCCCCAACGGGGCACTTCCCTCAGTGGAAATGAACCCTTGTAGGGGCATATGATGAAGCAGCTTGGAGGGAGGGTGAATTCCAGCATCGTTGATCAGTCTTGGGTGTCCTCCTCCTCCCCATCATCATCATCATCATCATCATCAGCATCATCATCATCATCATCATCACCATCATCATCATCATCATCATCATCATCATCATCATCATCATCATCATCATCATCATCATCATCATCATCATCATCATCATCATCATCACCATCATCATCATCATCATCATCATCATCATCATCATCATCATCATCATCATCATCATCATCATCATCATCATCATCATCATCATCATGCTTCGAGCGAGGAGGGAGGACTGGGGGACTGTCTCTCGGCGATCAGTCGGCACGACGCATGGGGAAACCAAAAAGTGCATATACCGCTACTCCTCGGACCTCTCCCGGGACGCGTTCTGACCAGTTCAATGGAGAACCCAGCCACGGCCACGAGGGCTCGTCAGGACGAGCAGCGGCATCGGCGCGGTACCTCCTCCCCCCCCTGGGACGGAGAAGTCCAGCTGCCTGAGCCTCCGGCCACTCGGCCTCCCAGCTCTCGAGCCGGTCCTTGCAGTCGTAGGGCTTCGGGGCCGGCGTCGGCGCGGCGGGGTCGAGGCAGGCCACGCCCCTGCTGCGGCAGCACCAGGACGCCTGCGCGGGCGACCAGGCCGTCCGCCACTCGGCGCGCCCCTCGCTGCAGTCAAACGCGGGCTCGGCCGTGCCGTTGAGCTCCGCAGGCGCCCTCGTCGCCTCGGGGCAGTCCACCCCGGCCGGCCTCTCCTCCAGAGGCAAGAGTTGTGGATGCCACGACACTGGACACTCGAACAGTCCTATCATTGAGTTCAAGATGTGTTTAAAATGTGTAAAAACATGTTCTAACAACGTTTCAAACAGGTGTTTTGCATACTTTCAATCTGTTTGAAATATCTTGTAAGACATCTGGAAATGATTTGGCAGCATGCTTCCTCTCCATTAATCGGCTTCAACAACAAGAGAGGACCGTGCCCCACAGGAGGTTGCCTCCACAGGGGGGAGATGATCCTGGATTTCGGTGTTGGTGGTAATATGTCGGTCACCTTGGAGGCCAGAATATTACCACCATCACCGAGATCGGGATCTTCTTCCCTCGGTGGAGGCACACCGCCGATCTTGGTGTTGGTGTCAACCTCGAGGCCTGCGAAAGAGAGGACCGTGCACGAGCACCGAGCCTGGCCAGGCCCCTCCTGAAGGGGCCAGGGTCGGCGCGCGCAGCCTCTCCGGGCTAGGCGCCAGGGAGGCGCGGGCACCGTTATCCGGGGGCCCAGGAGATGGGCATGGCCAGGACATCGGTGAGCGTGCAGAGTGCAACAATTGACGCTCTCAAACCTGTGCTCCTCCTCCTCCTCCTCCTCCTCCTCCTCCTCCTCCTCCTCCTCTCCTCCTCCTCCTCCTCTCCTCCTCCTCCTCACTCCTCCTCCTCCTTCCTCTCCTCCTCCTCCTCCTCCATCCTCCTCCTCCTCCTCCTCCTCCTCTCCTCCTCCTCCCACTCCCTCCTTCCTCCTCTCCTCTCCTTCCTCCTCCTCCTCCTCCTCTCCTCCTCCTCCTCCTCCATCCTCCTCCTCCTCCTCCTCTCCTCTCTCCTCCTCATCCCCTTCCTCCTCCTCCTCCTCCTCCTCCTCCTTCCTCCTCCTCCTCCTCCTTCCTCCCTTCCTCCTCCTCCTCTCATCCTCCTCTCCTCCTCCTCCTCTCCTCCTCCTCTCATCCTCCTCCTACCTCTCCTCCTTCTCCTCCCCCTCATCATCATCCTCCTCTCCTCCTCCTCCTCCTCCTCCTCCTCCTCCACCTCCTCCTCAAGGGGCCCTGGGACACACAAATAAATGGACACAAATAACAGGATTCCCCATATTTTCCCATATTATTTTCTGGGCTTTTGTCGTCCCCCCCGCTTCCCATATTTTCCTATATTTTCTCGGGAATCGACGATTGATTGTCTCTGTGTGTTTTGTCCCTCCTGAATGATGTGATACATAGCTTGTTTGCCAGTGGTAAGTGTGAGCTTTCGCCAGTCTCCCCAGCTCTTCAGACTTAGACGAGCGCGCTCCGCTACTCGCAGAGTAACTACTCGCAAATGGCCTGGATCCGCCGTGGGGGATCTACGCTAAATTACGCCGAGGAAGACAGGATGCGTGTCGGACGTTTGCGAGTAGTGGAACGCGCTCGTTGAAGACTGGTCTGGGTCCGCGCGGTGACATGCCGCGTGGTGACCTCGGAATCCAAAGGAGACCTCGCCGCACAGTCCGTCACCGCACAGCCTTGGGACCCTGCAGGCCCCGGTCGCCCGCTGGTCGCCCGAGGCGCCCTCGGAGAAGGACCCGCTTCCCAGAGCCCTGCGACGACCCCGAATCCCCGCTGACTCACCACACGGTGCGGTCACCACACCGTTTGGGGGCCCCCCCAGATCGAGGCCTCACAGATGAGATCGGAGCACATGGGGTCGGGGAATCGCGTCGCGCATCGTCGATTCATCACCGCTTCATCGACGATGCTTCAGCGATGGATCGGCCACGTCGGCGATGTATCGACGCCGTCGGAGTGGAGAAAATCGGGCCCCACATCGAGCCGCATCGCCGATGCATCGGCGATGCGGCGCGATCTTCCGACCCCACACACGCTGATCCCATCTGGGAGGCCCAGACGAGCATCGTTCTCTTTGCCCTTTGCCCGAACTCCTCCTGCCGGCAGCACCACGCGACCTCTGGGGAAACCAAAAGGTACGGATACAGCTACTCCCTGGACCCCTCCCGGGGTATGTTCTGACCAGAATCGTGAGGCGAATCCAGCGGTGGCGGCGAGGGCCTCTCAGAAGGCCCCCAGAAAAGAAAACGAGGGAAGGGTAGCGGGCTTGGTGCCTCCTTTCCTCCTCTGAACCTTGGCGAACGACCACTCGGCCATCCACGCCGAGAGGCCCTTGCTGCAGTCGTGCGTGTCGTCCGAGGCCAGCGCGTCGCCGCCCGAGGCTGCCTCGGCCTCCCCGCCGCTCGGCCCCGCGGCGCCGCCGCCGCAGAGGCCCCACGCGGCCGCGGCGCAGACGCCACAGGCGGGGCACGCCTCCCAGCTGCACGCAACGAGCGACCCCAGGCAAAACCCGGATAGCAGGGCTGCTTTGCACGCGGGTGCGCTCGCGCGCGCCTGGCCCCCCCTGCCATCGCAAGCGCAACCACGACCGCCACCACCGCGCGCGCACACGCGCCGCCACCGCCGTACACTACAATCCCCACTTACACACACACACACGAGAGAGAGAGAGAGCGTGATCCACCGCCGCTTTACTGTGGAAAATTGCCCCCCTCTTCCTCCGGAACCTGGGGGTCCCCCCCCCTCCCCTCCGAAAATCCCCCCCCTGCTGGACCCCCCCCTCCCCCCCCTCCCTCCCCCGGCAACACCCCCTCCTCCCCTAACCCTAACCCCCCCCCCCCCCCCCCCTCGAAAAACCGGGGGGGTCACTACGGTTCGAACCCCCCCCCCCCCCCCCTCCTCGAAAACAGGGGGGGTTACGACCGGTTCGACCCCCCCCTCCTCGAAAACCGGAGGGGGGGTCACTACCGGTTCGAACCACTCCCCACCCCCCCACTCACCGCCAGCAAACGACTCCCGGTCCCTACCACCGTCCGCGCCACATCCCCCACTGTTGTTCCCAGCACCACTGTCCTCACCACCACTGTCCCCACTGGTTCCACCACCGTCCCTACTGTCCCCACCAGTGCTCCCACCACTGTCGCACTGTCCCCATTGTCCCCACCACTGTTTCCACCACGGTTCCACTCTCCCCACTTTCTCCACGGCCCCAACCACTGCCCGACTATCCCCACTGTCCCCACTGTCCCGACTCCTCCGCTGTCCCACTGAGCTGTCCCACTGTTCCCACCACTGTCCCCACTGTGCCCGCCACTGTCCCCATTGTACCTATGTCCCATTGTCCCACCGCCGTCCTCGCCACCGCCTTCACCACTGTCCCCACCACCACTGTACCCTCCACTGTCCCACTGTTTCCACCTCCCACTGTCCCCAGACCACTGTCCCCACCACCACCGTCCCCACCACTGTCCACTGTCCCCACTGTTCCCAACATTGTCCTCACCACTGTCCCCACCACTACAGTCCCCACCACTGTCCCACTGTCCCCACCACTGTCCCACTGTCCCCTCACCACTGTCCCCACCACCACCGTCCCCACCACTGTCCGCACCCCCCTCGGTTTTCGAGGGGGCGGGGGGGCGGAGGGGTTCGAACCGGTAGTGACCCCCCCTCAGTTTTCCGGAGGGGGGGGGTTCGAACCGGTAGTGACCCCCCCCCCTTTCATGATGAACTGGGAGGGGGGGGGGGGAGGGGTTCGAACCGGTAGTGACCCCCCCCCCGGTTTTCTGGAGGGGGGGGGGTTCGAACCGGTAGTGACCCCCCCCGGTTTTCCGCCAGCAGCGGTAGAACACGCTCTTTCACACACACACACACACACACACACGCAAACATCCACAGGCACCCACACACTGACGACCACGCACTTTCGCACCCCTTCCCAGCCAGCTATCCGTGGTGCGCGGCTGTAACAATCAAAACGGATAGTGAGGATGCGCGAGAAAGATGCAAACCCCTTAGACGCCCATGTAGAGGCTCTTCGAGCGGGGCTGGCCATCGAAAGGGGTTATAAGGATGGACCGAGGGGGCAAGGATGCAAGGGTGCCTTTGGGAAAGTTGCCCCCCCTTGCGATCGACCTCGGTTGTAGAGGGGCCCCGGGGGAGGCAAAATCCGGTGGGACCCCTGTGCGCCCGCAACAGGGGCCACCGGCGACAAGTCGCTCTCATGCGTTGCCGAGCCTCCACCACCGCGTTCCTGGCGTTCCGGCACGCCGCCGCGTCCCCAGCGCCGCCGCCGCGCGGGCCGAGCCTGTGGGGCAGGACAAAAAGGCAGCGATGCCGCTACGGTCGGGAATTAACCGTTGGCTGGCGTGTCGCGGCGGCGGCCCCAGCGACACGCCATGCCCTGCAATCGGATAGCATGTCGCTCCTCTCCGTGGGGCGGAGGCTGGGAAAAGCTCAGGACGTTGACGCTCGGGGACTGGGAAGTGGTCAGCGTGTCGCGCCGAAGCGTGGCAGGCCAGAATCGGCGGCACGACACGCTCAGCCAAAGTTCCTGACCGTACTCTCTGGACCTCTCCTGGGGTGCGTGCTGACCAGAATCTCGAGGCGAGTCCCGCCGTGGCGACGAGGGCACTCCAGGACGAGTAGCGACATCGGTACAGCCGGTTCGCGTCGTGACGACTTCGGCGTTGGTCTCTGACACCGCACGGATCATTCAGCACTGAACGATCGGCGGCTTTTCGACCACCAATCGTTCCACATCGGCCGATTCCGGGCCGCCCGCGGCGTTCAGCTTTGGACGCCCGCCGCAGGGTCGTCGCCACGTCGACGCGACACGAACCTACCGCTACTCCCCGGACCCCTCCCAGGGTGTGCTGACCAGAACCTCGATGCGAATCCAGCCGTGGACACGAGGGCTCTTCAGGACGAGCAGCGGTGCGAGGCTGCTTTTCTTTCGACCCGGGCAAGTTCATTTGAATGGAATTCCCCCCCTTTCCTTCGCCGCCTCTTCAAACGGCGCTGGGCCGAAAGGGCGTATAGGTGAGTTCCAACTTGAATGAAATCCGAATTTCCGTTCGAGCTTCATCATCCCCCCCCGCTCCCCATCCATGCAAGCAAACTTGCCATAATCTGAAAAAAAGGTTTCTGTCGGTACATGTTTCCTCCCCTGAGCCCGGGGGCGCTGGGCGCGGTGGCGCGCTCCAGGTGCTCGCCGCAGTCGGCGGCGCTGCCGTTGAGGGCGCACTGAATGCCACACTCGCAGGGGTGGCCCTGGCGCTCGCAGCACCACGCCTGCTGAGCATCGGTTGACCGCTCCCTGTCCCCACTGTCATGGCCTTGGACCCGCTGGCCGACTTGCCCCCGTCGGTGGGCATATACATATATGTATATATACATACATACATACATACATACATACATACATACATATTTATATCTACATATAAAAACATATGCAATCATGTGGGAAGGCGAAACTGGTCACATACGATCCCTCGCCTTCCCTCTCTCATTCTCCATAAGCTTTCAGATATCACAAATTATTGTTTCCCCACACATGTCTTCCTCCTCCTCCTCCTCCTCAGCGTCATCTTTATATTCCTCCAACTCCTCCGCCTCCTCCTCATCATCATCCTCATGCTCTGCCGCCACCTCATCTTCCCCATCCCTCCTCCTCCTCCTCATCCTCCTCAACCTTCTCGCTTTCTTCCTCCTCATCCCTCTCCTACTTCTGTTCCGCCTCCTCCTCAGCTCTGTCCTACCCCTCCTCCGCCTTCTCCTCCTCCTCCTCCTCCTCCTCCTCCTCCTCCTCCTCCTCCTTGTCCGCCTGCTCATAATTTACCTCTCCACCTCCTCCTCCCTCCTCCTCCTCTTCCTCCTCCTCCCTCCTCCTTCTCCTCCCCTTCTCCTCCTCCTTCCCTCCCTCCTCCTCCTCCTCCTGCAACTAATCCTTCTCCTCCTCCCCCTCCTCCTTCTCCTCCTCCTCCTCCTCCTCATCCTCCTCCTCCTCCTCCTCCTCCTCCTCCTCCTCCTCCTCCCCGTCTCTCTCATCCTCTCTCTAGAGGAGCCGTCCAGAAATATCGACGAGTGACGACACACAAGGCGAAAAGAAGGCGCTAACTCAAAACACCAACACGTCGACGGGGTGCTATGTTTCGTTGACTCTGTACAGGCCGGCAACAAAGCATGTTGGCACCCGTTAAAGGGTTGTTGCCAAGTAGCAGGAGGAAGAGGAAGGAAGCGGAGGAGGGCGAGCAAGATGAAGAAGGAGGAGGAGGCATGGGGGGAAGAGCAGCGGGGTGAGGTAGAAGCGGTGTCGGGCGCATACGTGTCACCTCACAGGCAGACATGCACCTGTGGGAGGGACAAGTAGGGTCTATGCGTCCTCCCCCTTGCCCCCCTCCCACCTCCTCGCTCCCCCTCTCTCCCTCCCTCCTCCTCCCCTCTCTCTCTCCTCCTCCCTCCTCCTCCTCCTCCTCCTCCCCTCTTTCTCCTTCCTACTCCTCCTCCCTCTCTCACTCCTCTCCTCTCCTCCTCCTCCTCCTCCTCCTCTCCTCCTCCTCTTTCTCCACTCCCCTCCTCCCCCTCCTCCTCCTCTTCCTCATCATCTTCCCTCCTCCTCTCAGTCCTCCTCCCTCTCACTCATCATCCTGGTCCTTCTCACGCCTCATCTTCATGCACCCTCTCCTTTCCCTCTGCCTCTTTATTTTTCTCTCTCTCTCTCTCTCTCTATGTATCAAAAATCTCTTCCTGCTATCCAATCATCCCTCCCGTTTTCTTTCAGTCCCCGTTCCCCGCTCCCGCCCTCTCTCTCCCTCCTTCTCACCCTCTTCTTATATCTCCCCCTCTCTCCTTTCTCTTCCTTCCCCCCCCCATGTCATGATCTGCTCTGTCGTAGGACAAGGCTCGAGAGGCATCTTCGATGTGAGCTTTCTTCCAACACCCTGCCAGAAAGGGGGCTGCCCCTGGCAGCCGTTTCCCTTCGGAAACAATGATAGCCCCGCCGTTTCTGCCGCGCCCGCCGGCCGCCGCCGCGCAGGGTTCTTCGCTCTATCCTGATTGGTCCTTCTCTGTTCTTTTTCATGATATACGCAGCGGTTCGGCCTCATCGCCATGCACCCCAGGGGCAGAAATCGCTACCGGCTCGGATGGAGGATTTGCACGCGGGCGCATGCTCGCATGAACGAGGGAGAGGCCGACAACCCGCTCGAGGACACGCATGGGTTCAGATGGCTCGTGTTTCCGCCTCTATGTTTCCCCTCTCTCTGCCCTCTTCCCCTTGCGGGAGACACCAAGTTTTCTCCACTCTTTCCTCCTTCCTCGTTCCTCGTTCTCTCTCTCTCTCTCTCTCCCTCTGCCCCTCTTCTCCCTGCCTCATCTTCCCACCTGAGGAAGAAGTCTGTGGCGTCGCGGCGAACGCAGGCTCCACTGGCACGCAGATCTTCGTGAAGACGCCAATGGTTCAAACGGTCGTGCTGAGCTTGAATGATTGTTACACTGCCGACGACGTCAAACTTAGAATCCAAGATGTGCAAAATGCGCCCGCTGCGCACCAGCGACTGACTTTCGCGGGAAAGCAGCTGGAGAGTAGGCTCTTGCCGTCGACCTACAACATCCAAGCAAATCTGTGGTGCAGTCAATTCTCCGATTGCGAGGCGGCGCGTCATCCAAGCGCTCAAACAAGCACATTGTCACACCGGCCGCCGTCGTACCTAGATGTTGATGTAAGCAAGATGGAGGAATCGAAAAAGACCCATCGCGAAGTCCTAGCAAACGATGCCAGGGTTGCGGTGCAATCGTTCGCTTAGATCGCATTGCATTTCACCATATGGGCCGTTGTACAGAGAGAGCGAGATTGTACCAGGAAGCAGAAAAGGATTTACTGTTCGAAGCTGCGGAGAATGGCGTTTACTTGCACGCTTCAGAATTCCATCTGGGAGATTTAATGCTTCAAGATACACTTAAGTACTATGGATCCGAAGAACAGGTGCGCGCTGCTATTTTTACAGTAACAAATCGGGTACGCTTTTGCGGAGACATTTTTGAACTGAAAATGAACAGAGCGATCCGCATGCGAATGTCTTTATCACGTGACGCCGACTATTTCACTGTACTTCTCCGATCTGAGTTGGACCGACAGCGCAGCGAATCACGACCTGTCGACTCACGGCGCGAGCGCCTGCAGATACTACTTCTCCAAGTCTATGCGCTTCGGACAACAATGAGTGAAAACGCTCGCCACATGATGGCCAATGTCGAAACACCGTTTCTCACTGACGCACTGTTCGAGCTAGACATGAACAGCTTCCTTTGGTCGCTCTCCGCATACTTGATACGTGTCCCCGACGCTGCTTATTACAACTTATATGTACCAAAAATCAATCCATACGGGCGATGGGCCGATCGGGGCAACGTCTGGGAATATGGAAAACGAGAGCTCGCAATCTTGGGCGAGCTCGTTCAGGTGATACTATAATTCTTGGTGTGACCGGAATCTGTATGTGTATCGCCATGCTCGTTTGATGCGCACATGTGCAGCCTCGCATCAGGCTTCCAGAGCTTCCGATCCAAAGAAAGATGGCTCGATACGTTTGATCATACCATGCAGCATGCAAGCTATTACAAGTTGTCCAGTGACGAAGCCAATCGCATTAAATCGAAAGTTTTCTACGTGGGAGAACTTGGACCAGGCCCAAGACGATTGGCTGGTGCGCAAGCGCGGTAGCAACCAGGGACACACTTCGTGTCGGCGATACGGATGCGTTTGCAGACCTGCTCAATTTTCTCACAGACCACATTGCGGACCACATCGGCACTCGTTTCGGTGCCAGTGGAATAATTCAGATATATGATTCATTATATGCGAAGTCTCAAAAGGTGTGGGCGATTTGTATAGTGCATCTGCGAGACCATATAAATATCGCGGCAAGTTAACGCAAACTGATGTGCAAAAACTAATGTTGGACGAAGAGACGGAAATAGGCTTTGATAGAAGCGTAAACAGTGGTCATGTGGTTTTCAGCGTGTCAATCATAGTTTAGAATATGCTACTTGCATACCCATGAGTGTGGTATCGCGAATGGTAGACGCACCGAGTTCAATTGCGAGCGCTCCTCATGTGATCAACGCCAGCGCCAGCCCGACCAAAAAAACTTCACGCTTCGCGAATCCCCGCCGCCTTCTGCTGCCCAATTCACTCGCATCCAATTCATTTCGTGACGGTCGGTCCACCTGGCTCTGGCCTCCCCGGTACTCTAGCAGTCCCGTGGGCGGTTACGGCCCTGCATACAATTCATTTCGCAGCTTGCAGACCCTGGCCGCCGGCCACCCTGGCAGTCCGCCACCCCCTGCAGCTCGTTGCATGCGTGCACCCCCGGCAGTGCAGCCACCCTGGCAGCCACCGCCTTGCATGGACGCTGTGTGTGCGCTTTCTGCCCATGGCCCTGGCATCCACACTCAGTGCAGCTTGCAGCTCACTTGAGGCGCCGCTTAGGCAGCTTAGGCAATTTAGGTGCGCGGCTCTAGTTTGCTCCTGTTGTCAATTAGTAGGCCCGCGCCCCGGACTTACGACTCGCCGCTTGCGCTCTCGCCTGCGGCCGCGACCAAAAAAGAATCCCCACCGCTTTTCGTTCTCGCTGCTCCTCCTGGCTCGCTTGCTCGTTCCACGTCGTGCAGGCCTTCCGGGTCCAATACTTCGTGTTCGGCAAGTTACCTGGGGCGCATATGGACGCCTGCTTCCCTCCCCTGGTCTTCACCATCCTAGGCATGCGTGGCGCTCTCTGACACCTCCTTCGACGGCATCCTGTGGCTTCACCTTCCCTGGTGTGGGGTCGCACCTGCGTTCTACCGGAATTTCGTGCTCGTGATCACCGTGCTGGCCTGCCAGTTCCTACATCCTATCGGACGGTGAGCACACTTCTGAGCCAGACGTTGCTCCGTACTGTTTTTCCTTTTGCTTCGGCGCGGCCCAACCCAACTTTGCCCGGCTTTCGACCTGCTTCGCGAGCCCGCGAACCAAAAAGAATCCCCGCCGTCCCATCCAACAGCAGTCACTCGAGCGAAGAGCGCTGACCTTCGGGTGTTGTCTCCTCCTTCTCCCTCTCTTTTGCTTTTGTCTTCCATCCTCCCCTCCTCCACCTCCTCTTTGTTCCTGCTTTTCCTCCTCCCCCTCCTCCTCCTCCACCTCGTCCGTCTCCTCCTTACCCCTCCCCATTTGCCCCCTCCCCCTGGGCCTGGAGAGAGCGTTTCGCGAGGGGACCCCTCGCGGGGATCGTGGCTCGGAATCCATTCTG